ATATATAGACAAAAAGTTATACATGATAAGGAACGATGAATAAAATCCTAGTAATGATAAAATTATGCTAATAAAGAAAGAGGATGGATACTGACGAAGAACTTTTCCAAAGGAGAGCTCACATAATTTGAAATTACATTCCCATTTTTCTAGCATAATAGTCTATACAAATCATGGAAACAAATTATTAATATGTACTACTACACTGCCTGCAACAGTCTCAAACTGTGTTAACCTTGATTAGGGCTTGCATACTTAGAACATGGTTTTGATTGAATTAAATGGTATTTTGGCATGATTTTAGTCCATCATTTCAGTTGCTGTTGACAAAGACACAGCAGGATGATCAGTATTTTTGAACTATTGAAGTATTTTTAAGCAAGTGCATGGATTGCCTGTGGTAGCATTTGGAACCATTTAGAAAAAATCTGAGGGCTAAAAATTTGGTGCACTGACAACACCCATTTCTTCTCAACATTTAATACTTTTCATTAATAATAGCAAAGTAATGCATTACCACTAGCACAGAGTAACTGGAAGATAATTATCCCTGGATGCCATGCTTGTAAGTTTCTGTCGTTACTACAGGGATCCCATGGTGTTTCCTTCAGTCCTTATAACCACATAGACCAGGTTATATCAGATTTCATGTTTCCTAGACTCCAAGTGTGGATAGCAGGGGAATACGGTGTGCTCACAGGTCTCACCTGGTATGAAATCACAATGCAAAGGGAGCACGACTCCAGCCCTCAGAGCTGAGAACTGCATATATAGCTCAACATGTGCAACACAAACAACAGCAGAACATTAAAATTTGTGTTCATTTGTCTAAATATTCTTATTTGGCTGTGCTGGAATACCCAGGGTTTCACTGGCAGAGATAGAAGTCCTTCCCAAATCTACCATCAGTACTTTTCCATCACAGATTTCCTGAAGGGAGGACAGGGAAGAAGATAAGATTGGACTGCAAACACCACAGAGTGTGTCTCTCCCACATAGCATTGGAGTGCACTTAGACCAGGGCAATGCTTCAGACTCTGCTACATCTCCAGCAGTAAATGAAACAGGGCCAAAGACATCATGCATCATTTTAAGTGCTGGCACATCCTGGAATTAGCTTGATCCATGCCTAGCTGGCAACTCCTTTAGGAAACCCCCAGCCATGGCTTAGTGACAGAGATCACTGTCAGGAGACAGTCCAGCCAAGACTAGACAGTTCATCAATAGGAACAGCAGCACTGGTCGTGCTTTGTGCCCTTGTACAAACACAGAAATTGTAGAAACATCCAGTCCTGTTCCAGAATATTAGATTTTTACATAAAAGAAAATTTATTCAAAATAGTCCCTCCTAGAAGCCACTGTTGATAGAATAGAAAATTGTGAGAAAGGATTGCCAGATACTTGCTATTATTTTTTTCTTAGTCCACTGTTTCTGTGGTTCTGTGCAGTATTTAGCCCAAGCTGAACATGGCCCTAATTTGGGGATGTTGGAAAAATCATGTACATAGATCAAACCACACTCTTTATTTTTGCCTCTAATTGCAGTGTACTTCAGGTGGCTAAAGGTTTGCAACTTTGAAGATCTTTTCCTTGTGGAATCCAAACTGATATAATGGTGTCTAAAGGCTCTGTAGTAGATAGTTGATTTTTCCTAAGCAACTCTCCCTACCTTTCATGCAAATTAAGACAAAAATTTAGCAATCTGGTCTACTAGAAGGTGTCCTTGCCCATGGCAGAAGGGTTGCAATTAGATGATTTTTAAGGTCCCTCTGAACCCAAACCATTTTATGATTTTACAAAAAATGAAGCTTTATTATGTATTACATTGTGATTAACTGACATCTCCTAGAGTAAAATAAGAAACCTCTACAGTTTCCATCTTTAAAGTCTTGCAGAACATAACAGCTATAGTCTTTAGTTATCCAGTTTTAAGTCATACTTATAGATTTGCATCTTTCAAGAGAGCATTTTTTCACATGTTCTACAAAATAGCTGAAATCCTTCCAGGTAATACCTTTCTCCCTCTCTCACTTCCCCATCAACTTTCCTTTTGTTTTGCTCAAAAGTCTTCATGTCATCTGTCCTCAGGAACAACTTCATTACATAGAAATTGAAACTCCATGTTATAACATCTTCATAAAAAACAAATATAACTCATTTGTACAAGGAATGTAATAGAATTTTGCTTAAAGATTATCAGAGAAAATGACATGGAGATTGCAAGCCCGGCCATTTAGCAACTGACTAGCCTGACCAGGCTTGACACCCAAAAGTGATTTGGCTGAAATCTCTGAATATGTCATGTCTTGCACAATGCTCCTTCTGCCTTTGGTAATAATTTCTGTATAGTGGTCAAGAAATTTCAATAGAAGCTGGACACCCTTGTTCTAGACATGTGTGCAAGCATCCAGACTCCTAAACTGCTACACAGATGCAGAAAAGAGAATAAAATATTAGACCAAGGTAAGTATTTGTTCCAGAGGGATGTATTCCAAAGTGAGGAGTGGTCTCCAACATGCCATTTTCTAAAGCAGTGCTACATCCAGCATAGAGTCTGCACTCTGAATGCAATCTGAAAGTGTTTTAAACAGATTTCAATGAGGTGAGGATGACTAGCTCACTGAACTGTCACTTCCATTGCATTAGTATCTAGAGAATTCATTCATATACATAGGCACAGTAAAAACAGTGATCACTTCCTGTTCCACAAGTTTTTAGCTAGCAGTGAATAACTAATATGAATTGGTAAGCATTCAAAATCATAGAAGAAGTGGAACTTCCTATTTGGGGAAAAAAAAAATCTACCATGTGTTCAAGGCTGTTTCATAAAAAAGGGACTAATTTCCAGTCAAGCATGATTAAAAGACCTAAAATCCATTTTATAAAGACAAGTTTTTTCAGTCACATAAAGCTTCTGGTAATAAATGTAACTTCTATTTCAGTCTAATATAAAATTGATTCTGCAAAATAATTCTCTGTATAAGAACTTCCCTGCCACTCTTTTTCCACTAAACCATTTATTACAGAGATCAGATAAAGTGTAGCCTGACAGAAGACAACACTCATTCTCTGTTACTGAAAACAACACTGAAGCACTAAAGCACTATCTTCCACATGATGTGCATTCATTGGAATCATTTGATACAGATTCATTGATTAAAAACACATGTAAATCCATTTCACATCCAATATGCTGTTGCATAAAACCCACCAACAGACTTAACATCTGTTTTTGCAACCTGCATTTTGGTCTAGTTTTGTGCATGTGCATCATTAACAAACCTACGATATCAGTTTCCTGATCTCTGTATTGTTAAACACTTCAGAAGATCTTTTGCTTTGAAATTTACAATTGCAAAAACTATCATTTCCAGAAGGCCATAGACAAAACCTCTGTTCCTCCATGGCTTTATTGACTGAACATTTCCTGTTACATTCAAGAAACACTGAGTCCAGTAGGGTGTGGTACACAGTTAGGGACATTGTTTTGTTAAAATAATTATCTAGGGTCCATCAAATAAAGCATAAAACTAAAATCATGCCTTGAGACCTCATGGAACCAGTGGTTTTTATAATAATAAATACATTTACAAAAAAAACCCAAAACACCAAAACTGATATTTTGGTCAGTTTGTTGTTTGTTTTTTTTTTCTTTGTTTATTTTGGTGGAGTTTTCAGTTTGGGGGGGTTTTGTTTCTGTTGTTGGTTTGGTTTGGGGTTTCTTTTGCCAATCCTTCCTTTCCCAATCTATTGTAGAGAATGGAAGCACTGATTACTACATAAAAGTATCTGCTAAAAATCTGAGCTCTCAAAAAATACAGGCAATTTCTAAATCCTTAAGGTCTGTCTCATGCTCTCTTCAATACTTTCCTGCTTTTATTTCATTTAACTGAGACTTGGAACAGAACTTCTTTGGAAAGGAGAACAAGTCAGCTCATGTAAATCTGTGCAGGACTTCCTATTTTTCTGTGCAGAGTACTAGCTTAGGCTAAAATCCGTGTGCATTACTTTTTCCTCTGTAAGTAGAGTTTTCAGTCATGCAGCTGCAGTACATCAACTCGAATCTCTACATGAGCATCAAGAAAAAATGGAATTGTGCCACTCAAGGAATCTGTATAACCCACACACTCACTTTTCCCATTATACAAATTTCTGAATTATTGAATGAGGCATAAATTTTGAAGTCACAGGGATCAAAGAAAGACAAAACATCAAAGGCATCTAGAAGACAAAAAGTTAGCATCATGATCTTCAGCTTTGTTTCCAAAAATGTCAGTAAGATATCAGTTTCCCCAAGCTGTCTAAGTGGTAGGCATGTAGGTGGTTAAAATATATTTCTACTTTTATTGACTAATTGGAATATTTAGGCAATTGCTAAGGGGACGCTGTCAATATTTTAGATGCAGATTAGGTGCATTGGTCCAACCTGGAGCTATTTGTTCCTTATTATTGTTCCATTAACCATTGTATTTTCAACATTAATTTTAATGGCATTTCATTGAAGTATTTCATTAATGTATTTTCCTCAACTTTTCTCTGTAATCTTCTGAAATAATAATATTTTTTTGGTAATATGAAAAGAAAGAGAGGCAAGATGCAATGCCAGTGCAAACCAACAAACAATATTCCACTGCACTGTCAAAGGATCTGATGACTCCTTGTTCTAAGGCATGCTTTCAGTGGAATGGGAAGATTGAAAATGGAAAATAAATGGATGAAGGTAGATCATCACAGAAAAAGGAAATCATTAGAAGTCACTAAAAAAAGGAAGATGTAAGTTTCCCTCCTTACAAAGCTGATGGAAAAAAACAGGAGAGAAAAGAATCACTAGAGGGATTAATTTTTTTATCCAGACAAATTTTTAATTCTCTGTGTGCAACTATATAAGTGTCTACAGGACATAACATAGGTCTTATTACTCTTCTTCCCTTTGCTTGGTATTCATTATTCAAATGAAACTTTTTAGAACCCTTTAAAACAATCATCACATTTCTACTAACCTTTTCTTCTTCAGCATCTTTGCATGGGGAACACTTTAAAATTATTCTCTGTATAGATGATGTCCCTGCAAAGCACCTCTGGGTTTCTCCATGCAGTGAAGATGTTTCTTCAGCAGTTTTTCAGCAGTCTGCATCTCCCAAGTGTGCCTGGAGCAGAGGAGGGAGAAACAGTATTTGATTGAACACTACCCAAAGAGGAAAGGCCAAAGGTCAAAGTGGAAAGATGGAATTATTTTTCTTGAGGACACACCCATTTTTTCTTTGAGGAAGTCGTTCCCGTATCAGTATGCTTTGCAATGTTTGACCATGCTGCTGCACATACTAAGACAAAACATTATGAAAAGTCTCCAGCCCTAATATATCTTATATTTTAACATTAGCTGTGACAGTCACTCTATGACTAGCTTTTTATCCCAGGTGCATTTCTGTCTGTACCAAGAAAGCTGCAATTCAGCTTGCAATAAATATAACCCACTATAATAGATTCATTTTGAAATTTTCACTTCAGATGTAATTTATAAGGATTAGATGCTACACTACATGGTTCATAGAAACAATATAGAAAAGGCAATTATTGGAACTAATTAAAAATTCACACATCTGGGACTATGGAAAAACACTTCAAAATAACTATTTATCTACCCAAATTGATATCAGACACAGTGAGAATACAAGAAAGACAGATGGATGCTATGTTTCTGGGAATATATACACTGCTAGTGGGTAAAATTATTTTGCTCATATCTCTGTTTATAGTTGGAAAAAACCAGCCCTCAGGTTCCAATAGAGAATGACACAAAATGCACTTGTGCAAATATAACATGTTGGTGCAATTGAGAAGACCTCACATATGTTGAATTGACTACAACATGGCATAAGCCACTTAGGGCATTTGGTTAACACACTTAATTTAGCACAGTAATTGCTGTATGAGAGCAAACAAATTGCCAAGCTATTTCTTATACTGTGCTTAAGACCAGTTGTTTACCTTTCTTTTACCATGTCCTATTTACTTTTTTTTTTCTCTCTCTCTTCTTTCTTAATTTTAAGGAAATTTTCTGTGACTCTAGTAAAAAAATGGGCTCTGTGTTACATTCAGACATAGGAAAGTGCTCTTTTCTGAATGTGGTTTCTCAGGTTCGTGAAATTGACTGTATTGTAGTTTGAGTAATCCAGCAGCTTTCCTGAATAATTTCTGACATAACTTGTTTATTTGTTAGAATTAAATCAGCAGATACAATTTCCTACCACATAGGCAAGCCAAAAAAAATGCTTTGAAGTAATAATTTGTTTCATTAATATTTATCCCATGAAAACATTTGTCTAACATCTGAAAGTACTGAGCAGCTCTACAAGTGCTTCATAAGAAGGATGAATATGTCTAGTCACCTATCTGAGTTCTCTTGCTGCTTTGTATATTATCACTGTGAAAAACTATGAAAATAACCCATGAGATATTATGGGTTTAACCTTGATGGAAAAACAGCAAGTTCTTACTCTAGAGCTGACAACCAAGGAAAAGTAATACTAATACCTGAATTGAAATAATAGAAAATAGGGGGATAAATAGAATTAGCATAGTAAGTTATCTATACTTAATGGGTTTTCGTATATCTGTGATGTCTCCACAGGAACCATCTGCTTACTTCTCTTTACCATCAGTGTAGAGAGATACATGTGAACTTTAGGATGAGATAAATCCATGATTCCCATCTGACTTGACTACTAAGTGTGTTGGGACTAGCTCAGACATAGCTTCTGTGTGAGAAGCACTAACATTTGAGCAGGTGTATCCCACTCAGGCTGCCAAATTATTCCTAAGGTTTTTGTAGGTTTCTCAGCAGAGGAAGGTGGTTTCTTTTTAGAGAGAAGTTTTAGAGGAGGAAAAGGAAATTGTACTGATGAGGATTATGTTTTTTTCCTCCATGTACAGAGAAGTATTTTGGAAAAAAATCACAAAAAATTCAAGCAAGGACAATACAAAGATTGGCATCAACTGCTAAGGCCAGAAATTAACTTCTCTCCAGCAAATATGAATCCAGCAGGGAGAATAGGGAAGGGCCTTAATGAGAAAGTGATTTAAAAGAAAAAGGGAAATCACTGAATTGATATAATTTCCTTGGCACAGTTAAATTGAAATCAAGAATGTACCTTTACAACAGAAGTGAGAGGTTAGAAACAAAAGGGCAAAACCATATCTCTCAGAAGTAAAGATATTATTAATTGAGATTAAAGATGCTGGAATTAATTAGGAATGAGGATGTAATGAAAACTGCTTATAAAAGGTTTTCACAGTGAGGAAAAATGAGAGAGACTATAGCTTACACACCTTTCAGATGTTCCAGGAAAGCATCCTAGTAATACCCCAGAGAGCAGAACATGGAAAGAGGGCCAAGTGAAAAACAACATTGAATTATATCAGAGACAAGCAGGATGATGTCACAGCAACGAGAAAAGAAATATTTGGGATGTTATTCAGAGATACAATATAGAAGGAAAAAGAAAATAAAAAAAGAGTCTTATTAATAGGGAATGGCTAACAAGAAACTATAAAAGAAAATACTTGAGGAATTTTCAGAAATGGAAGAGGGAAAACCAACTTGAGGTTGACACCTCAAAAGCCAGTGGATGATGGAATTTTAAGAAGAGCATACTTGATTATAGCAATGACATCTGATGAAAATTGATAGCACAGGGTATTGAGTATGAGATTCAGCTAACAAGAAGGCATTTAAAATTTTACAAGTGTAATTTCAGCTGAATGAGACTAGTCTGTGCTGGGCCTGGGGAAGAAAACTGGGATGACAGGACACAGCATACACAGGAGTGAAATATAAAGTGGTGCAGCAACTGGAAAAGGAAATGGGGACACAAATGAATTTTTTTGATTAGGAGACATTAGCACAAAGTTCACAAGAGGAAGGAGAGGAACCATCCCTACTTTTATTTCTTCAAGAGAAGAGAGAAATTTCTGTCTCTCTATTCCTCCCTGGTCACTTTCTCCCAAATTTCTTTAGTAAAAATCCCCATTTTTTTAGCCATATCATTACACTAACATAGCAAAGGGACATCCCAGTACTTCACCGTCGATTTTCAGCCCCTTCCTCCCAGAGGAAGTGCAGGGCAGTAAGGTGCTTTTGCACACAGATTGCTCACTAGCACTTGCTGATAGTTAAATATGTCCCTCTATGGGTGGTTATATGAATATAACCTGTCCCTGTCCTCCTTTGAGCCAGCAGTGTCTATCCTGGTCAGCAAGCTTCTGGCTCTCTAGCCACAGATGGTCTCTCTGGTAGCATAGCTACTGACTGATTTTTATTGATCAGCAGCAAACAAACCTCGCTGTGCACACAAGCTCAACAGCTGCTATTTCTTGAGTAGTTCATAATTCATGCTTTCTAATTTACTTTACCTATAGCAAGCTAACAGATATGCACTTATCATTTGTTGAAAGCAGAAGAGAGGACAACAATACTGATGGCACTGGAAATGATGACAGGCAGAATTACATTTTGTGAGTGGAAAAGTGGCAGAGTCATGCTGAGGTAAGACCAGGAGAGGGTCAAAGTCAAGGAATGTTAAAATAGCCCCTTGTACATGACCAGAGGCTAAAATGGGAACACCATTTGAAGACTGAGTTATGTAAACAGCCCTTTGACATGCAGGAGAGTTGTACCAAAGCCAGGGTTTGAACAAAGAGCTGAAGGAAACAACAAATAATTGAGGCCTTAGGTGGGTCATGAGTATGAAAGTTAATGTCGGCGATAGTGCAGAGAAAAAGACTATGAAAAAAGAAAGAAAAAAATTAAGTTGGCATGTACAGGGTAGAATGAGGTAGAGAACAAAAGGTATCAGCATGATACAGGGGTGGAAACCACAGTCAAACACAGAGAAAAGCATAAGGGAGGGAACCTGGTGCTATAAACCATTACTAATGCATATCCTTCAGCACTTGTTTGAGCTGCTGGGTTTGCATCATACCATATTAAAACATAGCACTTTGTATGATTTTATGTTATTTGTGTGATCTCAGTTCCCCTTCCAGGATATCAAGAAATAACATACCCTATTGTTTTCTGCCCATCCACAACACACCAGCATAACTGCAAGTTCACTCTCTCTTTGTGGGTCAAGCTTTTTCTTTTATCTTTTTCTTCATTTTAAAAAAATATTATAGATTTGTTCCATTTTTGTGTCCCTGTATTTGTTTGCAGGTTACCTCTCTGATGTCTTTCTCTGCCTAGCATTAACCCCCAGTACTCTTAAGAGTGTCTCTTCTATTAAATTAAGTCTGAATCTGTCCCAGTTCAAGAGTGGTTGAAAATCATTACCATTCTGATGGCTGTTCAGTGTCCTTTTTTAAATGAACTGTGATCATGGTCCAACTCCTGGTGGATGGTCCATATCTCCCAAGCACTGTTACAGCTGGCACTAATTAGCACCCTCATTCTCAGCCTTAGAAGGCAGGTTAAGCACCAGATTGTGCAGTGAATTATTTTCTCACTCCTGGGTGTGATCTACCTGTGTCCAAGTTGAAGCAGAATGCAGAAGCAGCAAAGGAAAGCCCAAGTAATTACTGCTTTTGCTGTGCCATCACTGTGACTCAGGTCAACAAGGCTTTTTACATTTTGTAATCATGGAGTCAAATGTGAGTCAAAGTCACTTATGAGATGCTCTTGAAAAACTATTTCTATTTTTATAATTCTTTAGTGAATGATAGCAATCTGAATGCTAACATAATAACAGGTTGACAGAAATATTTTATTACCTTAATTGCGGATAAGAAGTAATTCTCCAAAAAAGAAAGAGGGAACTTGTCATCCCACGCTTCAGTGGGATTCTCAGGCATATTCTGTTATTTAAGCCGAGTGCTATGAATGTCAGATGGTGGGTCCCCCAGGCTCCCTGGCAACCTGCATGCAACTAAGAAAGAGGCAACAGCTTGCTTCAAGTATCCTTCCTAGAGATGACATAGTTAGATAAACCCAACAGGGAGTATAGCACGTGGAGGGAGCAGTCTGGTAAGAGGAAACCATTCCCTGTGGGACTGGCTCCATATTGCCACATGAAATGTTCAAAACACTGCTAGCCAGGAAAGTTGAATTTATTGCTTAATGAGCAGAGGACCCGGAAAAGATCATTGACAA